TAAAGTCTACCATTTCCTCTGAAATCTAGTCCCAGATCTGAACGGAACAAGCGATTCGAAAAGAAAATCTGGAATGAGAGTGTGGCTTTTACTTTCTTAATACTCTGCTATTTTTGTTCCCTCCCTCCCCCACCGCCAGCCTGCATTCTTTTTATGAGAAAAAATACTATAAAGCTATTTTCATTTTAGAAGAAATGAGTGGAGATTGGAGAATGATGTTGAGTGATGGCCTTCAAAAGTCCCACGTTTTCTTACTTGGTGAAGAGTGTTACTTCACTCAAGGCAATCTTAATGTCTTCTGGGGTCTAGCACACAGCACAGCCCTGAATGAGCTAAGCAGTGTGTCTGACAGTATGTAAATCTTCTGACTAGGCCAGTCTTCTGAATAGGAGAGCTACAGACTTTCACCTGCATCCATTAGCAAGGATGAGGCATTGAAGCCACAAAAGCTAGTAACGCAGAAAAAACAAAACTGAGGAACAAACATAAGTGCACAGTAGGTATCTGTAAGATAAAAGCATGCACACTGACAAAGTGGGTGTGCATACAGAGAACATTACAAAATATACTTGGACAAACTAGAGAATATCGTCTATAAACAAAGTAAGTAGTAGAGGAACACATACAAAGACAAAATTGGCTGAAATTGGAACCTAGCAATTAGTATGAAACTATTTCACTCACTGGTTTGACAAACTGAATAATTCACACATCATCAGTGATTTAACTTTTTTAAAGTAGGAAAAGGAATAAAATAATAACATCCCCTCATTGTTTAAGTTAACTAGGTTTGGTCTCAGTTGCTTGCAACCAAAAAACGTTAACTAAAGCACAATACAAAAACACAGGTAACAATGCAAAAAGTAATATAGCTTTTCAGAACATGGGGTCTTCAGTGAGATATTACCTAATGGTTTGAAGAAAAAGTTATTATCTGAGTATAAGTTTTAAAATACACAGACAATATGGCAGTAAACCCAGAGAATGAAGAGGTTAAGAACATGCAATCCCCCAGGAAAATTCATATCTATGTAACTTCTGGGAGGCAGTACAAGAATGTGATTGAAATTTATGTAGTAAACAGAAACCAAATCAACTATATGATCCTGCATTTAGGGAAAGATCATGTGTAGCAAAGGGGCTTATTCAAGCATAGAAATATATGAAAAGGACAGAGGAAAGTGTTGCTATTTCCCACCCAAGCACTGTCTGGAGGAGAAAGAGTGTTGGCTAAGGAGAATGAGACATTTCACTTTGCCTGGCAGAGTCATGCCCATGATATGTAATAGTACTTCATGCTTCCTCAGCTGAAACCCACTTCTTAAGATGAACGAATACCCTTGCTCTGATTGCAGGCTCACCAAACAACTTTCTAAGTTGTGGTTTCCCAAGTAGTAGCTTGTCTACAGGGAAAAAATGGGTAGGTAAGACTGACAGAAACCTCCAGTACCCCCTGACAATTGTATTTTCAGGGCCAATTAATTCAGTTGTCACGCCTGTTGAGACAGCTTCCCTTGTAGTTTACTTAGGAAGAAAGAATGCAGAGATCCATAGGTTTGAGCGTTCAGATCTAGATTTATATATAAGTCTCTATGAATGGGAGTCTTTCCTCCAGAGGCAACTCTTCTCAGCGTACGAACAAAATCAGGATTTGATCATGCAGTGCTGAGGCAGAGACCCTGAACTGTAGAGGCAACTTTGTGGAAATCCTGTGGGAGAAGCTCAGTGGCCTTGGCTCAAAGGACAGCCTTGTGCATCACCATTTCATAACTATATATTTCTAATGTTTAGTCAATGGTGGAATTACAACTAAGATACTCCGTAGCAGATTATGCCCCCACCATCAGTTATAGACAAACAAAGGGTTAATTTCCAAAGAGGTTAAAGGGCTCCTGCAAATCAACAACAACAGCTGAAACAGTTTACATTTCTCCCTGGGAAAAGAAAGGAAGTGCGTTTTACATTTTATATACCCTATTGTTTTTTCCTCAGCAAAAGGGTGTGGTATTGTGCCCAAAACAGACCAACCAAAAGCTATCTTACTAAAATTTCAATCTTCATCAGAGAGATTGACTTATGACATACTGAAAAGATACCATCTTTCAATTCCTCCTACTTAAACCCCTCAGAGACGAACCTAGTCTTCAACATTGCCTCCCTGTCGAAGTTAACCAGGTTTGTTCTCTGTTGTTTGCAACCAAACAACCTTAAGTTAGATATCATACCAAAATTACACAATACGAAAAGTAATATAACTTTTCAAAATAACAACCTTTTATAATTTGTTTTTTTCACCCTCCACAATTCAATTAGTGTCACCATTTGCTGATCCTTTCTCGTTTCCTGGTACTTTGTAAGTTACATATCACATGTGAACTGATTTAAGCCAAAAGGTTCGTTTTGCCAGTGGTTTCACCTCGCCTTTTTGCAGGCTCAGGTGCTTTTAACAGTCCTGTCTGAGGACTTCCTTAAGCATTTTCCTTCCTCACTTTTGAACAGTATGTGAGCCTTGTAACATGTCCTTAAGTAAATATTTGTTGGTAGATGTATAATGGAGAGCAAAGCAGTTTTTAAAATGCCAGTCTCCAGGTAGGAATTGGTAGAATTGTTGATCAGAAGAACAAAGAAGTAAGGGAATTGAAAGGGTTTTTATAACCATGGGGTTTTAGGAAGTTTTAGACAGGGAGTTGATTCAAACCAGGAAAGGTCTGGCATACTGTGAGAATGGTAGTGAGAAGTTATATATTGGACTAACTGGAGTATATACCAAAAGGGTGTAGATATTTTATGCTAGTGAGGAGAGGTAGGAGTAAAGTTTTTGTCCTTGAAGTCTGGCTAAGTGTTGTGAAAATGAGTCCTTATTGTAAAGCCACATCTGTGACACCAAGTTATCTGTCTTTATTAAGTTTTACATACCCCTTAGTTTTTTCTAATGTATATATTCAAAACAAACAAAAGCCACTTACACAACTACCTACCTAGCAGCCAAACGCTGAATGATGGACAGTTGAATCTGAGAGTTCTATTAGTAAGGTTTCATAAGTATAATTCACTTGTCTAGGGGAAGTTAATAAAGAGTCATGAAAAATAAACAGTATAGAGAAATGACAGTGAAACAAATGAGGTAAAAACTGAGAGAGATAGGGTATGATACTGGTGAGTTTGGACTATAAAAGAGGAAGACCTGAAAGTTGTGACATATTGACTTCTGAATATTCACCAGCAAGGCACTAGGACTCCCTAGGTAGCCTCCTGAAAGGGCCTCCTCCACACCAGGTGACCCTCACTGGGGCGCCCCTCCCTCTGGGGTGTCATATTTAAATGTTCTAAGAAAGAGGCTGCCTGGAGTGTCTATATTTAGAATATGTCTCCTCAGTGGGGACAGGTGGATATGTGGGGACTAATTTCTGCATACTTGGTCCCTGAGTTTTGGGAATATTCTGAGTGGCTTGTATGGGTGGCTCAGTGAAGTTGTAACAAAAGGCAGGAAATGAAAAGGCCTCTTTTTTCTGGCAACTGCTTGAGATCCTGTGCATTGCCCTTCAACTTGCGTGGGGGAAAAAATGGCACAGATATCAGGGGTGTTGCAGTGATTCCCAGTCACTCAGAGACCCTCACCAGCATCCCCACTGGAAAATGCTGAACACTCGCCACTGCTAGAGTAGCATACAATACATGAATGGCAGATACCAGAGAGATCTCAACAGTGTCATGATGAAATGAAAATTACCTCTATCAAGTCTCATTTTCATCAACGGGGAAACAGGGAATTCTCCAATTTCTGGATGATTTATGGGTTGCACCACAAAAGTCCAAAATAGATTTTAAATAAAACCCTGTGAATGAAAGGCAGGCTAATCTGTGAAGTCACTAATCTGTAAAGTTCATCTGAAGATGTAAGATTCATCTGAAGATATAAGATTCATCTGAAGTTGGGGTCTGCATAAAATCTGTCCTTTGAAGCCAGAGTGAAAGCCACCCAGCAATCTTCTGTGAAGATCTTAGACTTCTGACACCTAATCCTATGAGCTCAGCCAGGAGAAAGAGACAATAATTCACTTAACCTAAAAGGTCAAAATTAGAACACTGAGTTTCTCAGTATAGATTTATCCATCAATTTATAAATCACATTGAAAGCACAACTGGTTGGTTGCAAGGGTATGTTTTTACATTTTAATATGTTGTTTGAAAGCTGCTATTTCCTATGCAGTCAGAAGAAAATATTTTCAAGTTGATCTTTTCAATTTAAACTAACTTTGCCAAATCAATGAGGCCTCCCTATTAACTGGGAAATCTTGCTTATGTCATATACATTAAAAAAAAATTTTTTTTTAATTATTTCTTCTCCAAGAGGGAAAAGCTTTGGTTTTTTTGTTTTGTTTTGTTTTGTTTTGTTTTGTTAATTACAAAATCGTGTCGTTCAATTCAATACAAAAGAAAGGACAAAATAGAACCTAAATGTTATCAAAATACTAATTTAAATCTCAACGCTACCTGGACTTCCGTTTCTGCCCCTCCCCCAATGTTGGTGCAGAGACTGAACATGGAAAACGGTAGAAATTTAACAAAGGGTCTGCAGGAGTTTCAGAGCCAAGGAAAGAATGAGACGATTTCCCAAGAAATGTAAGTGAAGAGTAGACCCAGGAAAATATGCTGCCCCTTCCTGGAATTACAGAAACACAAATTCAAACACCAGAAAGACAGGGCCACTTCTGGTTTCTGGTATTGTTACAGAGGAAAAAAGTGACAGGGCCCCACTGTGGGGGTTGAGGGGGAGATACAGGGCAGGCTGGCGCCTGCCGCACTGCTTGTGGGAGTGGAAATTGGGGGCCAGAGCGTACTAGTGACGTGGCCGTCACGTGACCAAGAGCCGCCTAGAGCTCAAGTCCTGCTAGTCGTCTTCGTCTGGGTACCAGCCCCCTTATTACTCTGCAGGCGTGTGAAGAAAGAAGGAAACTAGCTCGGACTGTGCAGGTCGGTGCGAGGGTGGGCGCTGCTTGAAAGGAGGTAGGGGTGGAAGGGGGCCAAGAACGCCGCAGATCCGAGTTCAGGCCGATCACGGCTGGGTCCCTTTCTCGCCTACTTTCTAAATACTGCCTCCCACCCCCACCCCACCCCGTGCTCCTTTTAGTAGAGAGAAGTGGCGGGCTTCGGGTGGGTTGGGGTGAGGGGAGTGAATGGCGTTTCCAGGGACTCCGAGGAAAGAAAGGTTCCACAATCGGGGTTCCAGTGTCCCGGGTGCTGGTCCGTCTACCAAGCACTCCGTCTCCTCGGTCCCTTGTCTGTTTGCAGGATCGTAGGTCTGCTGGCCTGTAAGTCTCGGCGCAAGTCTAAGCTAGAGAAGGAGAAAACTGCCTTGGTTGGAACCTTGCAGGTCAGTGTGAAGGTAGGATTAGCCCAGAACCACGGGTTGGGGTGGCGGAGCAGGGGGGCTGGGATATGAGAGGGCCGGGTCCGAGTCGCCCTCTCCTGGCCCCTTCTTTCTCCACACCCCCTCCCATTTCAGTACAGGGAAAGGGGTGTGGCGGCCTTTGCTGGGGAAATGGCGGACGACAAGGGGGGCGGGGGAGGCCCGCGTCGGGAAAGTCAGTAGAGTATGAGAAATCTTTTAAACTCAAGTGCCTAAAATTCACAAAAGCAGAAATTGGGACCTGTGTCCTCAGTCCATCCACTACACTTTCACATCTCCATTGCCGTCTACCTGTCTTTGCATTTGTCCTTCTGGCAGACTCTATCTGTCTATCACCGTGGAAGGACCACTGACAACAGAAGGCAAGGGAAAACGAAGAAATTTACCCGACTTTGGTAGAGGTTAGTGAGAGAAACTGCCTTTAACCTTTGGGGATGGAAGTCCGGTGAAGGAGACTCACCCCGTTACCCTCCTAGCTGACCAATCTCCTGCTTTTCCCTATGGGTCCAGGAAGAGAAATGTGGAATCCTGAGGGTCGATAGAGGAAGATAGAAAAGAACAAAGAAACTGTTTCCTGTTAATCTGCCTTTCTCACCAACAACTGGAAATCCGGCCTCTCTGTGATGCAGAAAGCCAAACATAGCTCCGAGCCTTAATACTCTATTTCACCCATAGATTCATCACAAAAGAGCTACAGGAGCCTGGAATAAGCTGAAGACTGCTACCCTCCATCATTACTCATCCTGGACCTAAGAGACCCCTTCAATCAGGTGGAGCAAGGCCCTCTCCTGTCCTGCCCCAAGGCTGGAACTGACTTGAGCATGGGCCGGGCTCGGGAAGTGGGTTGGATGGCGGCAGGACTGATGATTGGGGCTGGTGCCTGCTACTGTGTTTACAAATTAACCATAGGAAGAGATGACAGTGACAAGCTGGAGGAGGAGGAGGAAGAGGACTGGGATGATGACCAGGAGCTGGATGAGGAGGAGCCTGATGTTTGGTTTGATTTTGAAACTATGGCTCGGCCCTGGAGTGAGGATGGGGATTGGACTGAACCTGGGGACCCAGGTGGCACTGAGGACAGGCCCTCAGGGGGAGGAAAGGCCAACCGAGCACACCCAATAAAACAGCGGCCCTTCCCCTATGAACATAAAAATACTTGGAGTGCTCAAAACTGCAAAAATGGCGGTTGTGTTCTTGACCTCTCCAAGTGTCTTTTCATTCAGGGAAAACTGTTGTTTGCCGAGATCAAGGAGGAGGCGTTTCCCTTTAGCCAGAATATCAACAGCCATTTGGCCAGCCTCTCAATGGTCAGACACACGATCCCCACTCCAGACCCCGCGGTTAGAGAGGCTTTGTGTGCCCCAGATAACTTAAATGCCAGTATTGAAAGTCAGGGCCAGATTAAGATGTACATCGATGAAGTGTGTCGGGAGACTGTGTCACGTTGCTGCAACTCATTTCTGCAGCAGGCCGCATTAAATTTGTTAATAAGCATGACAGTTATTAATAACATGCTTGCCAAGTCCGTTTCAGACTTGAAGTTTCCTTTGATATCAGAGGAAAGTGGATGTGCTAAGGTTCAGGTTTTGAGACCGCTGATGGGTTTGTCTGAAAAGCCAGTCTTGGCGGGGGAGTTAGTCGGTGCCCAGATGCTCTTCTCATTCATGTCCCTCTTTATCAGAAATGGAAACAGAGAGATTCTCCTGGAAACCCCTGCCCTATAAAGGGCCCTCTCGAACACAATGGGACCGATTCCACTCAAAACGCGCTTGGTTTGCAGATGTCAAAGAATCTGCAGAGGGTGTCACTGAAGATCCAGCCTTAGCCAATCACCGCCTCATTGGGTGAAAGTTCCAGCGCTCAATCCAGGACCACGCTCTTATTGGCCAGGCAGGGGCTCCCACAGAGCTTTGAGTAACTTCTTGGTTGTGCAGGCTGCAGGCAATGTTGGCATTGTAAATTCCTCCCGGCAGCCTCCTTCACGAGGTGAGGGGATCACTTCGGCTGCCTGCTGTGGACAAAGAACATCAAATTACAGCATCACGAGTGCTATTGTTGCCTGTGGTGGTCTCCCTGCCCAAGCGGGACCGCTTTGCAGAGACCAGACGCGTACCGCAGCTTGAGCTAACAATGCATTTGTTGCAGCTTAGGTTGAATTATTTTTCGTTTACCCTTTCTTCTACACGCGCCTGATGAATGGTGAACCTAATCATCAAAAAAGTGTACTGCTCTTCTGTCTATTGTACCGACTTAACCTCTTCCACCCAAGCCCGCATCTGTGTGTATCATCAATAAAGTTGTGTGCTTTGATTGGCAGAAAAGAGGCATGGTCCTTGTCCTTGAGTTTACAGTCTGCACGGAGAGAAGGACAAGAAAGGCACGGGTAAACGCCAGCTGACTGGGATGTCTGCTCCCTGGCAAATGCAGGCTTCTCAGTGCTCACAGGAGGCAGGGATAGAGAGGGCTGCATGCAGCGCTCAGAATAAATTTCAAGAAGAGGCTGGGGGCGGAGGTGGGGAGAGGTGAGGGGCACGATGGGGGAAGTTGACGGAATTAAGGTGGATTGCTGAGAGGACTGAAAGAGAGGACACCCTTGGAGCAGGTAGCACCGTGCCCGGCACAGAGAAATCCCTTCTTAATGTGTTTTCCTTGACTGCTGGCCTGGAAAGAAAGATCAGAAGCCCTGGCCTTTTCCTTTGCCTGCGCATCCTGACGTGGAGGTGGGGATCGGGATGGGGCGGGTGTGGACGCTCTCCCACACATCGGGGCGCGTTTGTTGCGCAATGATCGCGATGAACGCTGCGGCTTGCCCAGCACCTACCCCGCGTAGTTCTACGCCTCCTGCGAAGCCACGGGGAAACCTGCTTCCAGCTCTCCTTCTCTCTTCCTTGGGATCCCCAGCGCTACTTCCTGGCAGGGTGAGAGGGTGGGCCGCTGCTCCCTTTGGAGGAAGCTCCTTTCTGCTGTGTCCCCACTACCTTTGGCAGGACCCAGGAAGGGGACAGAAGAGCCCTTCATCAACTCCCCGCGGGGGTGAGAGGGCAGATGCGGAGGGTACTTGGCACGGCCATGGCCACTCCATCCATCCGTAGACACCTCCACACCCTCCATCTGAGGTCCCGGCACCTTGCCAGGAAAGGACGAGCTCCTGGGCGCAGAAGCACTCCATGGGTCAGGGCAGCTCGTTCTGCCCCGCCCCCACTTTCAACATGACCAGATCCCACCCAGCAGGTTTAGCCCCTGAATCAGCAAAGCCAGGTTCCTTGCACTTTTGTGATGTGTGTGTGTGTGTCAAGAGGTGGTCCCCTTCCCCCAATTCATGACAAATCCGTTAAGCACATCTGCTTCCCTTGGGCAGGGCTGCTGCTGCGCCCCGTGTCCTCTCAGTCTCCCAGGGCTGCTCCTGTGGGTCACTGTGCCCTGGGCAGCGGCGATCTCTATGTGCTGGGCGTTCTGCTTGTTCCCTTTCACACAGAACAAAGCTTTCTTCTCTTGTCTTATTCTCCCTTCCCCCCTGCAGCTTGGTTTCCAGGTGGGTTACAACTTTCCTGCTTGTACCATCTGCCCAGCAGTCCATGCTGGTCAGAGGGCCTGAGTGCCCGCCAGGTCCCCCGACCAACTCTGGGAAACCCTCCCAGCTGGAATGGGGACCAGGCCTCTTCCCAGGCCCTGGTGCCTGGGATGGCCAACAAGTGACTTGCAGTTGCTGTGACACCCACCCCCCTCCCCCACTGCTGGGGCTTCCTTGGCTGGCTGGCTCTGGGAGCCCTGCCTTGGTTCCTAAGAGCTGTCAGTCAGAAGGACCACCCTTTCTCCCAAGCCAATCACAGTTTGGCTGGACAATCTGATTTCAAAGGGGATTTCCCTGCAAACAGCTCCTCATCCACTTTTCCCAGTGGAGCCTGCTCCTCCATTGCTGTCTTCAGTGAGCCCTCATTGCTCAGCCTCTTTGAGCACAAAGGCATCCTCCTAGCCTGTGGTCTGGAATTAGCATGCACCTCCCTACTTCCCTGCACACTACCACGTTTCCCGTTGTGTGCAGTTGTCCTCCATCTCTGAGGCACTTGACACAGTGAGGCCACAGCTGAGTCCTAACTCAAGGAGCGCCCCAGAAGCTTTCTGCTCACCCCCTGAGCAAATTCTGTCACAGGAAAGCCCATCAGCGTCCAAGTGTCTCCACGGCATGGGCTTGGCCCAAGTCAAAACCCTTCTGTTCATTTTCTGGCACTGCCCTCTCGAAAGCACTCACTCACAGCCCTTCCGTCCTGCCCCTCATCCCTTGACTGTCAGGAGCATGCCTGCCTCCTAGGCACGCACGGCAAGAGCACCTCCCTTTGTCCCTCCGTCTCAGCACAGGCAAGGGCACCGGTGTCCCCGTTCCATGTGTAACGCAAACATAAATACAGCCCTGAGCCGCCAATCACAATAGATACCTGCCTGCTGCAACCCAAAGACAGTCTTTCTGGGCTTCCCCGGGGCAAACATTGGGAAAAGTCAGCAAGGCTGAGCTTGCCACCTTCTGTGGGGAGTGCCTTGCCTTGATGGTGCCTCCCCAGCCTGAGCCCGTCTCTTGTGTCAATCTAGAACTGCCGCCACAGGCTATCTTCCACTTCCAGAAAGGGCCCTGGGCTTTGCTTCTCATCTATCTCATGAGCCCGTTTTCATTTGGTGCCTGTAGGCAGTGACTCACTTCCAGACCAACTTCGGGTGCCCTCCCCAGCCTGCTGCCTCTCCTAGGGATTTTGTGGTTTACCACCCCCCACAACCCCCCACCCCCACCCCCACCCCCACCCGCGCTCCAGGTAAGTGCACACAAGGTTGCAGACATCCAGCTTCCCAGGCAGGCATGTCCAGTCTCGGACACTGCATCCTGTGTGTGTGTGTGTGTGTGTGTGTGTGTGTGTGTGCGCGCGCGCGCGTGTGTGTGTTGGTGGGGAGGGCTGTGCTGGTGCTTGTGAGCTGGCCTCTGCTCCAGGTGTGTTCTCAGGACATATTCCGGCCCACAGGAAGCTTAGAAACTCTCATCCTGCTGACCTTTGCACCATGGCAAACTGGGCACTGTTCTCTGTCCTCTCCCAAATTAACACATATGTGCAAAACAAAAGCAATTTCATTTTGTAAGTATAGACTTGTTGTACTGACCCATATGGTAGTCATTAGCCACACTTGAAATAAGAGGCCTGTCACATGTTGCAACCATTGAAAATGATTTCACTTACCCCATCTCTTGATATTTTTGTGTATGTGTGATTTATTTGATCACTCAGGAAATTTGAGTTTTCTGTTTATGTCAATATTTTCTTTTAAGGACTTCTATACGTACTGATTTTTGCTTCCCCTCCCTCCCTCTCTCTTTCCCTCCCTTCCTTCCTTCCTTCCTTCCTTTCTTCCTTTTTTTTTTTTTTTTTTTTTTTTTTTTTTTGCATGACAGCCTTTCCTTCTCGAAGTTATAAGAAAAACCTTTGCTTATTTCCTTAGGAATACAAACAGTTTATCTTTTTTAGAGTTAGCTTTATTGTTAACCTACTAGTAGAGTGTGTATGTGGTATATGTGTGTATGTATGTATGTGTATGTGAGTATGTTTGTGCCTGTCTGTACATACAGTTTGAGGTAGATTTTCTATCTTAACTTTCTCTAAATATATTATTAATTACACTAATGCCATTTATTGTAGAACCCACTATTTATGTTTTGATTGAATTATATTAACTGTGGATTAAGTTGGAAAGGATTGGCATCTTAGAATTTTATCTATGTGCAACTATTTAGACTTTTTGTCACTTGTGATATTTTCTTTATAAAGATCATTCACATTTCTTTTTGGGATTATTCCTGAGGATTTATCTGTTTTTCTGTGTGGACATGGTATTTACCTTGTCCTATAGTACTATGCTATTTTGATTCTGCTGTCCTCATCCTACACACCAGCATACAGGTCGTATCTTTGACTTCTACTGCTTTGAGAACAGCAATGAAAAAATTGGACAGTCAAGTGCCTCACCATTGCTACTGTCAAAGAGGAAGGAAGGAAGAAAAACAAAGCATTTGGACCTAGTTTTCTATAAATGCTTTTTTCCCAGAAATCTTTCTAAAGACCCTTTCCTTGCCTTCAGTTTATTTTTATGTTTTCTTCCTCCCCCATTCCCCTGTCAGTGGAGTAGTCCAAACTAGTTCTTCTGGTTCATTCAATCATGTTTCTTTCAATCCTGGCAAGATCTTGATTAAGTCTAGCCGTCAGTATTTTATTGTTCTTTGTTCTTACATATCTGAATATGGGATAATTTTGAAGGAAGGAAAGGCAATTTGAAGGCTCAACCTATTACCATAATTAAGCACTCCAAATAACCATATCCTTCCTCTGAATAAATATTTGCATCTCACAAAGACCGATTGTCAATGTGTAGATCTATATCCAGAGTTCTGCGTTTTTAATTATCCAGTCCTTTGAATTGAGTAGTAGATGAAGTTGGGAACTTCCCCTCTCCCCTGGGGACGGTGCATGGAGGTAAGGGAAATGATGGGAGATGTTATCACCAGCCTTCTCTCACAGGCTTTTCTAGCCTACCACTTGAGCTGTCCCATGTTAAACTCAACATTTTTTCAGCTTGTGCCTATGGAAGTGAAGAAACTAACCCCAATACTCTTAAATTTTCCAGTAACTTATCTGGTCATACCTGATACCCACCACTCTCTACAGTTTCAATTTGGGGATTGATTTGAACCAGGAGAAATGAGATTGGCTGTTTTTCCTTCGTCTCTCCTCTCTCCTTTCCACAAAGTTTCTTTCTGGTAAACATTTCCTTTAGGTCCTGAATCCTCACTGCCTTTGGCTTATATTAAAGATCTTTGGTCAGAATCTCCCAGGCCTGCTACCAATATGTAATGGCAGCTTTTGGAATTTAGGAAAACTTGAAATTGATGGCTATTAATTTTTAAAATTAGCTTTGAAAACTCAAAGGTTCTTATGCAAGGTACTGGCTGTACCTTGCTTCTCAGAGGCAGACTCAACTTCAGTGTTACCAACTGAACAGAGTGCTTTCTGCAAATATGACCTGTCTGTGTAATTTCTTTATCCCAATCTCTTTCTGCTTCTTATAATCCATAGGGTCCATTGAGGTGCTATGAACTTGTGCATGCTTCTTATTTTTGAGCAATGTACAAACAGAAATATCCTAATTACTTAGTCTTGATGGTGAATAATGAAAATGAGAAGGGACACAGGGTGGCAAGTTGGCAACCAGGACATTGCCCAGTACCCTTTGCCTCAGTTTTAAGGAGGACAGGACAAAGACAGACTTATGTGGAATGAGGAAAG